CAGCCCCCGTGAGGGCTGCGGAGCTGTTGTGGGAATAAAGCTTTGACAGCATACGGCACCGTGGTTTTTTTTTGTTTTTTTTTGTCGTGTTGAGGGTGCGCGTTCACAGCTGGCGAACGATTGCGTAACATGCAGATCGCGCGAAACTCTGCTTTGGGGTCTCTCCGTTACAGCACGCCAGGGGAAAGCAGTTTTCTGGAATTCCTAGAAACGCAGCCTCCTTAGGGCGGGCAGCCTCAGCCGAGCGTGCTGGTACGAGGAACGGTGGTGCAGTCCTCCCCCGAGCTGTAGTAGACAGCTGTCAAGCTGTTTCTTTTAGCTGGTGCGCTGCTTGAGTAACGTTTCCGACACTGATGCAGCCCTTTCTGTTTGCGTGCCTTTGCGAAAAAGGCACATCTCGCACCGTATCTGACATGGTAAACGCGTCAGTGCCCGAGGACGCGCTCGGCAGGGCTTTGCAGAATTCAAGATCATTGCAGCCAGCTATTTCTCCTGCATAATACTGCAGTTTCAGGAGGTGGTGTGTGTGCTGCTGTAGTGTTGATGTGTATATGCGGTACTAGAATCAAAGTTTCCATAATGCCTGACTTAAGTCATTAAGTTGCTAATTTTTTGCAGTATCGAGGAAGAGTATTCTTCAAGAATGATGCATACGTGCTGGTTTGAGATGGGTTAAACTGGTGACATCAGTGAAATGCCAAAACTCAGAACATGAAACCAGCATTTGAACCATTAAAAATAATCAACACTGGATTTTTACTCTTCTTCAAGGAAGGATTAATCTTCTCTACACAGGGTTTTTTTTTTTGATGGTGTTGGTACAGGTGGTTTTTTTCTGGTAGATTTTTTTTTTGGGGGGGGTTGGTTTTTTTTAGTTAGGAAAAAGGCATTTGCTTAAGATAGTTAATAACATATTGAAATACTACTTTGGGTCAGATCGGTTATATTGCAGTACCTGATGACAGGTCATGCTTAACTGGTGTGAGAAGCATAGACTGCAGCCCTAAAAACTGAAGTAAAACTTGCATAAACTTTCCACAGCTTCACAAGAAATTTGGAACACCCATGTTCAAAAAATCTACTTAGGCAAGACAAAACCTAAATCACAGGATAACTATTAATTGCTTATGTGAATTGATGTTATCACATTCTCATATCTAGAAAAAACAGTTTTTAAAAAGTAAGTTCATATTTGTGAAATTCAGACAGTTTTAGTAACACTATTTGCATGTGTACGAGATCTCGATTTCTGTTAGATGAGTTGAGGCTAGATTTTATATCTCCGTATATTTTGCTTCTCTAAGGCGGAATGTTCTAACCTATGAGATGCTGCGTGTCCTGTGTGTTTGAATCGATTTGAGTATTGTAGTGAAACTCAAAAACATCTGCTTAAAAATAGGTTTTGAGAGCTAGTCTTGAAACTTGCAAAACTTTTGTGCAGTGTTCTTTCTTGTAAACTGTTGGAACAATCCTTGAGGTGCAATTCAAGATCTGACATATCATCTTTAATGTTATCCTCTAGCCTTTTAATCTCCTTCTTTGCAGTAAATATTTAATGAAGATTGTATTTTTGTGTTTTAAAAAGTAAGCAACAAGTATTTTACAGAAAGCATGGGGAGGAAGTCATCTAGATGTCGTGGATATTGTAATCATAATTCTGTAGTCCTATGGATTTAAGTGGCTTCACATTCTCAGCAAAAATAACTCAGCAGTATTGTATGAAACTTGCCATAGTTTAAGGTCTAGTCCCGCGTATTTGGAGTTCTTCTGCATCACCTGTCAAGTATGATATTGATTTCTAAGTAACTCAGCTTCTGATTTCTACGCTGGTTTGTGCTTTCTTTTTCACCCACTCTCTTTCTCCTGCTGTCAGTCATTCACTGAAAATATTAATGTTGTTATACAGAAAATATCCAGGAAAACAATCTTTTAATTTCCTCTCTAATTTTACAATTAATTTTGGAACTTTTGATAGTGTGTGCGTATTTGTTTAGTTAGTTCTTTTTAATTACTGATAAGGTTAAAGGAAAGAATTGTCAACATGCATAAAATTGTATTTAGTCCCTTTTCTTTTTGTCTGAAACAGCATTTTGTGTTCTATTCCTGAGAGATCAACTAGAACAAAAGTAATCCCCTGGAGTCGTGAGCCACTTGTCAGGTACCAGCTTCAGGGAATCTGTCTTTGCTCAACTTTGTGCATTACAAAGAGGTGTTGCTGCGTGGAACGAACAATATGTGAAGGCCTTGTTTTGCCGTTCTCTCTGTCAAAAATATTTATAGTTTTTATTTCTTTCTTACAGAGATTCTGAAGGACCTGGATGATTACTACGAAAAATTTAAACGAGAGACAGATGCTGTGCAGAAGAGAAGAACGCTGCACTGCATTCAGAGAGCCTTGATTCGGAGTCAGGAGCTGGGGGACGAGAAGATCCAAATCGTCAGTCAGATGGTGGAGCTCGTTGAGAACAGAACTAGGCAAGTGGACAGCCATGTGGAACTGTTTGAGACTTGTCAAGAGACTAATGACACCACTGGAAACAGCGGGAAAGCCAGCCAAGATAAGTCAAAGAATGAGACAATCGCACAGGCTGAAAAGCCCAACAATAAGAGATCGAGGCGGCAACGGAATAATGAGAATCGAGAAAATGCTTCAAATAACCATGATCACGATGACATCACCTCAGGAACTCCAAAAGAGAAGAAAGCCAAAACGTCCAAGAAGAAGAAACGGTCCAAGGCTAAAGCAGAGAGGGAAGCTTCTCCTCCAGACCTTCCTATTGACCCTAACGAGCCAACATACTGCTTGTGCAACCAAGTCTCCTATGGAGAAATGATAGGATGTGACAACGATGAGTGCCCCATTGAGTGGTTTCACTTTTCCTGCGTGGGACTCAATCATAAACCAAAGGGCAAATGGTACTGCCCCAAATGTAGAGGAGAAAACGAGAAAACTATGGACAAGGCATTGGAGAAGTCTAAAAAAGAAAGGGCCTACAACAGGTAGTTTGTAGACTTTTCGTAGCGAATTAAAACAAAACCACCAAACCAGTGTATTTATTGTCAATGTCACCTTTGTTGAGGTGAAAGGATTGTAAAATGTATATTTTTAAAGGAGGTTTAAAACTGAACCATTCCTGTTATAGGGACGGCAATAAGCAATTTTGGTTTTCATTTGGTAAACTGTAACAAGAATGTGGTCTGTGGACCAATGTATTCCAAACGTAAAGTTATAAGAGTTTAAACTGAATGTTTGGGTGGGTCTTAAAAGATAAATTAATTGGGTTTGTTTTGTTTTGTTTTGTTTTGTTTCCAGTGCTGGTAGCACTCTACTCATTAAAATTCTGATGACAAATATCTCTGAAATGTAATTTCATTTTCTTCAATGAAAAATGTTATTTACCTCTTGAGCAAAATTGTTAAATAGTTTAGCCATCTGGTTGTATCTGAATAAAGCTGCAATACATTACAAATGTAACTTCTTTCAGCGATAAGCAGTGCAAGAGCAAACAAAAGGAGGGTAAAATTTGGTTCCTGCTACAAAGTGTCAGTATAACAGTTCAATAGCAAATGTTTAAATAGGCTTAGAGGATTATTTTTTAAAAAAAAGAAGTTAATGGTTAAATTTTACACAACAAATATTTTATATCCTGGCCAAATACCACAAGGGCCATTTTAAAATGATTGAATATGTTTTATATTTAACCAGGAAGTGGTTTAGTAATGAGACTTAACATAAACGAAGCTTTATACTGTCACAGATAGTAGTGTAGCAATCCTTAATTTGTTTAAGTTGTATAAATGTACATTTTTAAGTGGAGTTGCACTTACTGTATTATACTTGGAAATGCAGCCAAATGCCATTGTGTAACCAATGTGCATTTCCTGCTGTATGTATGAAAATTGTACAGCTGTGATATTAAGAAATAAATGAAACAACTTTGACAGTTTGCTTCTTTAGCAATTCTGTTAATGATCATTCGTATAGCTTAAAAACATTTTGTCTTTGACCTCAGCAGCTCCAGCAAGCTGCGGCCGGGAAGCCTGAAACTGTTGTAGTGGTAACCAAATTACAGTTCCAGTGACGAATCTTCATAGACCTTATGACCAGCAAGGTCACAGGAGAGCCAAAACGGCATTTACCTTTCTATCCAAACCTACTCTTTTTGTGATTGCAGTCACTCCCAGACCTGGCCATTTATCTAAAAATCGATGGCGTGGAGCTGGTCTTGTTCACGTGTTTTCATGCTTTTACACTACAGATATAAATTGTTCCATGTTTGTTATCAGCAGAAAGATCTTTTGCGTTACAGCGTTTTCAGAGCGTTGCTGCAGCCGTTCCAGGGCAGGCGTTTTTCTTGGTCACTTTGTGCAACAATATGTTAGCTGTGGCCAAGGTGCTGTGCATCAGATTAGGTATCCAGATCCTCCTGTCGCTTAGTGTTATAGTGCAGCTTGGTCAGCCTGTTTCCTTCACCTGCGTGGCTGGAGGGGACGACTTTCTAAATGGCTTTAAACTGAAGGAGGGCAGATTTAGATTAGATATAAGGAAGAAATTTTTCACTCTGAGGGTGATGAGGTACTGGAACAGGTTGCCCAGAGAAGTTGTAGATGCCCCATCCCTGGAAGTGTTCAAGGCCAGACTGGATGAGGCTTTGGGCAACCTGGTGTAGTGGAGGGTTTCCCTGCTCATGGCAGGGGGGTTGGAACTAGATGATCTTTGAGTTCCCTTCCAACCCTGACCATTCTGTGATTTCATCTCCTCACCCGCCTGCAGGCCTTGACTGCAAGCAAGAAGGGGATGGGACCAGCAGTAGGAAGGCCCTGGAAATGAAGGTTGCAAAATCTGGTGGATCAGACAGGACTCTTGTACGAATATGGGAGGCTGAGGTTGGGTTTTTTGGGAAGACAGCGTTCTCTTAAAATTTATAGTTGTGTTTTGCTTCCTGGACAGGGAAACCATACCGCTGAAGTGCTGCTGCTTTTTCCCAATGTATTCCAGCAGGTCTTTCTCTTGGAAGTAGGGGAGGCAAGATTTTGGATCCAGTTGAACACAAGGCAGTCAGAAAGGGCTGTTTTCTAAAGATGTACTGAAAAGCCACAAGATGTGCCACATCACCTCGCAAGGATGTTCCCTGCCAGACAGACACACTCACGGTGACAAGCAGAAGTCCTCTTTTACTTCTGCATAGGTACACTGAGTGTGTGTGCATGTGCAGTCGTGTTTCCAGTCGCTACGGATTGTCATGTGACACCGAGCCACCTTTGCTGTGGGCAAAAAACCGCTCCAAATCACGTCACCTGCTTCCGAGGTGGTTTAGGGTTGGGGTGTAATTTCTCTACTCTCTTACCCTTCTCTTTTCCTCTTCTCTGTAAAGCCTTGTCATTTTCCATTCTCCCTGCGCACTTACCGGTCTTTCCTGCTCCTCCCTCCCTCCACTTGTTGTTGTGGCTGATCCCGACGTTTCTGGTCTTTTCTGCCTCAGCCGTTCTGTTGTCCTCCCACCAGCCTACGCTGAGAACATCGAAACTTGGCAGGATTGTACTAGTGAAACCCTAGTGAAACTTTATGTGGGAATGAGCGCAGACACGGTTTCAAACCGTAGTCTTTTTTCATTAAATTTCTGCATTGGTTCTGCAAGGCATTTTGAATGTGAAAAGCCGGAAGAAAACAACAAAGGTGCAAAGGAAGAATCATAGAATCACAGAATGGTTTGAGTTGGAAGGGACCTCAAAGATCATCTAGTTCCAACCCCTCTGCCATGGGCAGGGAAACCCTCCACTACACCAGGTTGCCCAAAGCCTCATCCAATCTGGCCTTGAACACTTCCAGGGATGGGGCATCTACAACTTCTCTGGGCAACCTGTTCCACTGCCTCACCACCCTCAGAGTGAAAAATTTCTTCCTTATATCTAATCTAAATCTGCCCTCTTTCAGTTTAAAGCCATTGCCCCTTGTCCTGTCACTACATGCCATTGTAAAAAGTCCCTCTCCAGCTTTCCTGTAGGCCCCCTTTAGGTACTGGAAGGCTGCAGGAAAGTTCAGATAAAGACAGATCAGTAGACGAATGTTTCTAGTGCTCTTAAATGAATATATTTCTAGCTACTGAAGGTTTGCTGTGATCTCCCGTATATCAGTCATTTCCAAAAGACAGCTGCTGAGATGCAAAGCAGCTTGGAGTTACATGCTTTTCCACATTTTTCCAAGACTTGTGTTATCTTTCCAACTCACCCTGTTGCAGGCTGCAATGTTGTTCTGCTGCTTGACCCCGAGGGTTGATTGGACCTGCGTGGTACCGTTCAACAGGTCTAGTTTCAGTCAGTGGACACTGTCGATTAGTTAGATGCAGAGGACTCTGCTGTGGCACTACGCCCATGTTGATGGAGATGAAGCCATCTCCTGTTGTATTGGCATGCTGCCAAGTGCCGCGTACTGTGCAAACTTCGTTCTGGCTTTGGTATCTTGTCTAAAAGGCTGTCTTTACAAAATGTCATTACGGATCCTCCTTTCTTAGTTATTCGGAGCGCATTTAATGGTCACGAGAAACTGCCGTCCTTTGAGCCAAGTTTTGTTATTTCTGCGTGATAGATCAGCTCGTTTGCAAGTTTCCTTATACTGCCCGGAAGGGTGACAGTGCTGTCATTTGGGGAGGTCATCTGCAGGTTTGAGAAAGCATCTGAGTCTCTCGGTGACCCTTTCCCTCTGAGGATGCCTACAAAGGCTTGAGTAAGAGAGAGGCTCTTCTAGGAACTGAGCTAAGGCCTCTGCCTTGTTTCCCTCAGGCCAGTGAGCAGCTATCAGGTATGGTAGCACTGATAACAGTATGTAAAA